CTGAATGAACATATAAAAGCAAACAAATTTAATATATTGATGTACATGCTGCGACTTCGATAGATTCAAAGTGTTGGCGCTCCCGTACGATGTGCACCAAGATAGCGCACAACCTGATAACCCAAACCTGGTACACATTCTATGTTCAGGTTGTGCGCCAACTTAGTGCACCTAATGCGGTGCATGCAAATGTTATCGTTGTTACAGAGTACAATGAAATCTCATTCCTCAAGGGATTACATGCCAAAATTAATACAATAATGATCTATTGGATAACGTATTACTAACGAGTATCACTCATCTTATTACGTTTTATTGCCTGAATGAAATAATTTTAGATGATGACCTTGATACACGGTCAATGCTTACCCAGAGTATTTCTGGTTACTAATGACAGTATTCCTGAGATTTTGCCGCTTCAGAGATTGCATGTAATCGGGAATTGTTTGTCATGCAGATGTTCACCAATGTTAAAACCTGGCCTATCCCATCCTACAGCAACCGGATCACATTGTGCAATCTTGGCAACCCGGCTTGGGTGAGCAGTGAAACACTGTTTCATCTTGTACCCAGGATGAAGTGATGAACGTATATTAAGATAAAAACGATTGAGATTTTCATCTCGAGGTTTCAGTGTATTCAAGTAGTAACTGAATGAATGAAAGATCAATTTGAATTTTAAAATGAGAATATCAGAATTAAAAATGGTCTGTAACAAATCGCGGTTTCACAACGGGAGACAAATGTATCTTAGAATAGTTTATTTTCGTGGTCTACTAAACTGGAATACTACGGGAAATACTCGGCTAGTCCCCGATCTCGAAATAGAACTAAAATAACAAAAACTGGAATAAAATTATGTTCTAACCCAAACCTGGTTCACAAACTACACTCCGTCGTCCGTCATCTTGGGTTGCATACTGCAGAACCAATAAATGACATATAAAGTCTAGTGGTAAGACCATTTCCAGAATCCGCTAACATTAATCGGTACCCCCTGAAGTATGGGCAGTGGTCACCAAGATATCGTACAACCTGAACCCTTCCCTGGTACACAACCTGAGTTCAGGTTGTGCGCCATCTTGGTTCGCATACTTCAGGAGGTCCGATTAATCTCGTTTGGTATTGCGAATTTAACGCGGCGACATAAGCAAAAAAACATGTGTTTTTATCCATGTCAGCGCCTATTCAAAAATAAAACTACCAGCTTGTTTTAATGAAAACTGATTAACACATTGTAACGCGTCTAGAACGATATCAAGATTTCTCAGCGCAAAAAGAATAATTCTAAATATTACCAGTATCATAAACGTTCCCTTCTTTCCAACTATGAAAATCTCGCGAACTATTTATCAACTAGTTGCCTCATATAGTCTATATTAAACTCTATTGATAGTATAGTTCCATCGCCTCGCTTTTATGCTTGCAAATTCACCACAAGCGAATATATTTGGAAGCATACGCTTGATATGTCGTGACGAGGTTTCAGATCTTAATCGGATTAGCGCTGTCGCGTAACGTTCATTTTTGGTTAACAATGACATTGCAGAATTAATTTTACTATTATGCAATTTTCTATTTTAAAGAAATCGCAATGAATTTCAAAATATAAGTTGACATAATTAGTATTTTGAATTCTTCAGTGAATTTGACAATAATAAAAGTTTACTTAATCTTGCAAATGCTAAATATAAGTTTGGTGTCAAATTACTCAAATTTTCTGTAATTCATAACAAAAGCGAGACTTATTATTTAACATATTTAGTCTTCCCTTGGAAACTCAAAAAAGTACGCGAATCGAGCAAAGATTATTGAACAACGCTACTCGGTGTTCAACCCTTATAATTATTACTGCTCCAGACTATAATACTCTCAATATAAAATGGGTGATTTGGCAAATTAAATTAATAGATAAATATACACGTTATCATGCAAACCATAAATCTACGGTTTGACAAGCTGACATGAGCAAACTACGGCCCACTGAGTAATTCAATCTGGTCCGCCTAAAGGTGCGTTTACACTGGACGCGTCGCAACGCGTTGTTTCAAGTTGTTTCAAGTGACGCCGTTCACAATGAAAGCGCGGCACCTAACGACGACGCGCGGCGCCGCTGCTGTTTCTCTCGGTGAGCGTTTTTCGGCGCGACTGACCTTCAAATTCCACGTGCTTTTTTGCGGCGGTGTCGGCTGCTTCCCGTAGGAAGTGGTTTTACCTTCTGCTAAGGTCTGAAGGTACCGCATTTTATAACTTTAATATGCAATTAGGTACCGGTACCATTTATCGTAATTTATAAGTTAAATATCCAAATTAGGTACCGTTATCTAGGCCAGAATAAAATTGATTGCAAGTACAAGTGAAGGATTGTAGTCTTTACTATTTGCTATATAAGTTCTAACAAGAATTGTATTTTGAATTCATTACAAACTTTGTTTCACAGTCATGTCCTTTGAAGAACTACTAATAAATGAGGTGCAATCTAGACCATGTCCGTATGACATGAGTCGCCACGATTACCGTGATGTAAATATTAAAACTAACAATTGGGCGGAGATCGGAACATTGCTTCATGTTACTGGTTAGTTACTTTTATTACGGCATTGCTATATTTATCTTGATGGTAAAATCACGTTGTCTAAAATATATTTGAAAGTACACAAAATTGAAAAAAAAGCTTGCTTTGCTCGACTAACACCACAATCTGACAATGCTATTCAGGACAGCAGACAAGAGAGAAGTGGAAAGAGTTGAGAGACAGATTTGTCAAGATTAAAAATAAGAATGAAAGCAGCATGAGGTCAGGAGCACCCGGAGGCGTTTCTACGAATAAATGGAGTCTATTCGAACAAATGAGTTTTTCAGATTCCTTCGTGCAGCATCGAAAGTAAGTTATTTTGCATAAAATCGGCACAACAGTAAATATTGAGCTGCTGTGATATGTTACTATGATGAAAAGTGTGTGCCTATTTCAATGATGTATCTATCACATGTTTTGAAATGATCTGTTCAGTTTGGTATAAGTTAAATTCTTTATTAATTTGAAGTTATTTCAGGCCCTTTTCTATTTCTTATTTCAGAACGTCCTCAAATTTAGATCTCGTCACTTTATCAGCTGTGGTAGAAGGGGAAGAAGTGTCTGGGTCATCTTCTGTCGCACCGACACCAAAAAAAAGGAAGGAAGAAGTGAACATGCGGATTTTGAAAATTCTTGAGGAGGAGAAGGATGGTAATTTTTTTAACATTTCAAACATCGTTTTTGTTTCATGTTTTATCTACGGTCACACATGATATGGTGTGATCGAGATTAATTTAGTATGTTGTAGAATTAAAGGAGCGTATGCATAGCATGCTCATATAGACAAGAGAGCTACCGTATATACTCTCCTATAGGTCACAACTTTTTACCTCATATTTATAAAAAAAAAAGATAGGTGCGACCTATCCGCTCGACATACGGACGATTTTACAAAAATTCGGATATAGGCCATTCCTACAAATCGTAACACGCAGCACGCATCTATTACAGGTGACCTGGTTCTAACCATATAAAATTATGAGCGTCATTAACATATTTTGATTATATTAAGCCCTACAAAAAAACAAAATAGGAAGTTACCTATGCAAAAATCTAGGGAAAGGGCCATTCAAATCCCTATATTTTCAGTGCGATTTATGTGCGAGATAACTCGAAATTAAACTTTTTTAACACAAAACTAATAGTGCGGCTATAGCGAGTATATACTGTATACTTCAAATATTTGGACACGGTAGAGCCACATAATTTTGATGACGTCATAGCGAAAAAAAAAGTGTAGCCTTCTGGAGAAAAATTTTATCTTCAACCACTGAAAATTCAAAGCAATTGGTCCAGTAACCAAAGAGGAAGCGATTTCTTCAAAACGTGTCAAAGAACAACAACAAGACTAAGTCTAAAGAACAGTAAAAACGTTCACTATGTCCACTACGTGCCCAATAAACACGTAATGGTATGAAATATTGATACTATGTATATTTATTTTAGATGACCCAGACAAACTCCTTCCTTCTTTCCCTTCTACCACAGCTGAAAAAGACTGTCTCCTGAGCGTGCGTCATCAACAAAGATGAAACCATGCAAATACTCGCATGAGGGCTGAATTTGAGAAAATGATTCAATTCAACTTCCCACTAAAAATTAGAAAATAAATTCAAACGTTTTTTATCTTAATTACTGTACATTACTAAATTTAATTGACTCCGTACAAACTTGAGCAACCTTCTCTAAACAAGAACTCAATTTTCAAAAAAATTTAATGTTTTTATTGTTAGTTTACCTCAACCATTTTATTATTTATTCAGGCAGTATGCTTTTTCATTTGGCTATTTCTTAATTACAGCGCTGTGGAGTATTTGCATGATTTTCACCTTTCTGCTCCGCTTATTTTCTTTTCATCAAGAACAAATTCGTTTTTCAATTACGTTTATTTTCAAATATTCTTTGATGAAAAATTTGGATTATTTTCTAAATTGATTGCAGCTTAAAATATTTTAGTGTAGCGTGTCAAATGTAATATCTCTCATTCAGTAATATGTTTTTTCGATGGTAACCACTAAACTAGATAAAAGTAACTTTTCATGTCCTTCTGACTCTTTGAAATTGCCAGGGGCAAGCTCCATCAACCATGAAATAATTTTTAAGGCTGTCGCGAACAGCCGCCGCCGATACACTATTTCTGCGACCTTGCCTTTGCAGGGGCAAAAAAACTATTATCCTCATGTACTCGCCAACTTCCTCTTGTTGTGTTTTCCTCCAGATCCTCCCTATCCACTTCACCTGTATCTATCAGTGTATGGCGTCTTACATAATTATGCAAACAACATGCTGCCTTCACAACCAAACTCTGCGTTTTGTGGCGACACACCCATGGGCCCTCCCAAAACTTCTCCACTTCGCACTCCTACGAATGCATTTTCTACTACTCGCCTTGCCCTGGATAGCCTGTAGTTGAAAAACTTTTTCATCAATTGGCAAATTTCGCCCCGGGGTATAGTCTCATTCGGTGCTGTTTGAGTGGGAAAGCTTCATCCCCCACTATCACATAGGGAGCCTTTTTTTGAGCTGTTGTAAGTGTTGTTTCATTCGGCAAATTCAGGGCCCTTTCATTTAGGAGCTTACCGAGAGCAGAGTGGGGAAAAACACTTCCATCACTCTGCTTTCCGTATGCTCCCACATCTACAAAAACAAAATTGTAATTGGCGTCAACAAGGGCCATTAGCACAATGCTGAAGGTGTGCTTGTAATTGTAATAAAGGGACCCTGAATTCATCGGTGCTTGAATTTGTATATGTTCCCCATCTATGCTCCCTATGCAATGTGGGAAATTCCACTTTTTCTCATACTCTTCAGCGATTTGCTTCCATTTTGTAACTGTTGGCGGGTTTAAATATTCTTTTTTGAGTGATTTCCAAATTGCCTCACAAGTTTCTGTGACTATTCCTGAAACTGTTGATTTTGATGTCCTATATGAATCTGCTATTGTGGTATAAGAATCCACTGTTGCTAAAAATCTGAAATATGATATATGTGCATTTTTATTTGATGTAATGTTTATTTTTAATAGTACTATGTGGATGTGTTGTAATTTGAATATTTTCTTCCACATACATTTTTTACATGATTTGAATATACAGTTTCAAATGGTACATTGCTTACCTCAATGTTATTCCAAGCCTCTCTGCAGGAGATATAGGTTCTCGGAAATTAGTCGTGGTTTTAGTGATGTAAGGAGCCACTAGACTCTTCAGGTCATCAAACATATCAGGGTCTAGGCGGTCAATGTTCCTAAGCAACCGCCTCTGGCGCCCTTGAGTGGTGGAAAAATGACGCGCGCTATGTAAACACCTGCCCCGCCCGACCATCAGCCGCGACGCGTCCAGTGTAAACGCACCTTAATGCTGCTACAACCAAACTAAAAATAAATGTTGAGGTTTTATGACGAGTTTCATTGTAGGTCACACTACCCGCCCGTCTAAATGGGCAAAATTTCTGGACCATGGACCAAAAATCTTGCCCACCTGTGATCTAAAACATTTGTACAAAAATATTATTTATCAACTGAAACGCCGATATAACATGTGAGGAATTGCAGTGACTTAACCTAAAAAAAGACAAATATGTATGAAAACGAACCGGTAAAATATGAACCCTCACTGTGGAAAAGATGCCAACCAAACGCACGGTAGCAGCAATGTCATGTGGCCACCTCGTCATCCTGAAAGATATTGGTGGACGTGACTAATGAGTCTTGCCTCGGCGAAACTTGCTTCCTACATGGTGTTGTAGAGCTTCCTCACCCAAGCTTGCTTAGCATCATTGTTGTTGTAAATTTGATGCGGACGCACTTTAGCAGTTTGGTGGTAGTGTCGCCACTCGCCATGCCATCACGCGATGTCAATCAAGTCGTTGAAGATCTGTCTTGTATGTTTTCTCCGGTACTCCAGATTCGGCGCATCTGATACTCTAGTGCAGGGATACTCAACTATTTTTATCGAAGGTCCGCAAACAAAACTTCAAAATTATTTGGGTCCGGTCTTTCCAGAAATGATATTTCGGCATCCTTAAACGAGCACTTCCTCGACCGACTAATGATTAGTAGCAAATAAAATTGTTTATTATGATGTTATAGTTCTTTTCGTATATATTCAAAAATATGAAAGTCATTTTATAATAGGAAATTCAAAAAGTGTGGCCAATGATCCAAAATAAATAATTAGGTGCGGTCCAAATCCAATACTCGAAAGGTCCGGATTCGGACGCGGTCCGCCAGTTGAGTAGCCCTGCTCTAGTGGTTACACTGAGTTAAAAGCTTTTCTCAAAGCCATGAACGCATCGGATTCTGGCGTTGTCTTGCATTGTCTAGCAGAGCGTCAAGTAGCAGAATATTTCCAGCACAGACCATCAGTTTGGGCCGGAACGCACGCTGGGCTGGCTTGAAAGGAGCCGGGAGCCGATCGTGTCAGATTTTCTAACGGCATCAAGGACTCCTTCTTGCTGATTGGCTCCACTACGTCCCTAAGCTGTTGATTTTCAAGAGACTTGATTTGTACGAGTATCTACTATCTTCGGTGCGTCTATGACCTTTTTCGAAAATTCAGTTAATTTCTTGTTTCAATGAACCTATTCCTATTCCTACGATTCTATTCCTCAATGAACTTTAATAAATAAATTTCCCGCTCAGCGCTATCGTTTTGCTTTTTGCAATTCAGTGATTGTACGTGAGGTATTCCAGCCTGCGCTTATGACATTTAGTCATTGCCTCGTTTATGTTATATATTGTCTTTTTTTCGAAGACTTGAGGACGTTCTGGTGATTCAACAGAGTTCCATATGGCTTCTTTTCAGTTTATGCGGGGCTTCCACCTCCGAATGCTGAACGCCTGTGGGTTGAGTTCTTTCCCTTTTCAGGCGTTCCTTGTTATCGAGAATTTTTGAACGTAATGATTTGAACTCCGAACCTGATTTGAAGACGACCTTCTCCGTAGTGCTACCATGCTAGAGTGCGCAATGTGATCTTTTTGAAACGAAGTTACATGTGTCCTCCGTCCGTTCCTCTTGTAGTGATTTAAACTCCAATCTTCTCATCCTCGCTTAAATTGTACGCAGAGTTCGGTGAGGAAATATCTGCTGCTTAAAGAAATATTTATTATTTAATAATACTGTACATTCCTTTTTGTCGAGACGGATGTCTTCTAGTGCAACCAGATGACATTTCTCGTAGTTCCACTTGGCTAGAGGGCGTAATGTGATATGATCTTGGTGAAACGAAGTTACATGTTTCCTCCGTCAGTACACTCTTAAGCCGGATTTTGTGGTGAATCAACAGCTGCAGTATTGGCAGGGAAATCTTGCTAAAGAGTTGTTGGTATTCGAAGACATGGTAGGGATCAGACCACACTCTCGCAGAGGCAATGGATTCGGTGGATTTTTTCATTAATTTTCCGTTTTGTACCGGGTTTGACACTCCAAAAGAAAGTAGTAACCCTAGATGGAGATTAAAACCTATTCGGTATTTGCTACTTGAGATATGAAAATACTCCAAGGTATGTCCTGACTCTTGCCATCATGAGGCACCGGAGAGGCATACGTTTACCCTAATTGCATAAGCAATGTCTCTTTGCCGTGCAATTTTTCCCGCTTTCCATTGTTCGCTTCAATGTTTAATAGTTTCTGGCTGGAGCTGGGCCAATGCTAACCGGGCTCTTTGAGTTGTCGGTATTGAGTTGCATCATATGAGCGACTCTTCAGTTCTTCATTGATGATTCTTATCGTGAGATATCGCGTAGCATACGAAAGTTGTCTAACAGACAAACAGACAAATACCCAGTGGGCGGCGGCCGTGGTCATTTTGACAACCGGGGCAAGCTACTGCGGGACCAAGTCACCCCCATCTACGGGGACAGGATGAGCGCTGTAAGTTCTCCCATCATTTTTATGAGTATAAAAACCATTCCATCGGTAACAACCAATCGGCAAAAGCGACAATTTTTAACCATAAGAAAGTGTTTTAAAAACCGGTCCAAGTCAAGGGATTAACAAATATAGACATAGTTTATTTTGAAACCTCTTTCAAAGGAAAGGCAATTATTTACCCAGATAATTACAATGACATATTAACAGAAACTTTAGGAAAAGCAGACAAAACCTAAAATAAGGTTTAAAACGTACTATGAAGAAAGGAAAGTTAATGCAAAGATAAGGACATGCGTCGCTCACTCATAGATATATATGCTGCTAGACTTCTACTGCTTGAACATATATGCAACACGCCGCGGTTTCTTGAAAGCAAATGCTCAATAACGCGCTGATTAAAGTCATGCATCCCAGAAATAACGTCTCTGTGAATGGATAAAACAGCCAAGGAATTTAATCTATCTTGCTTCATTGTTTTCTGAGATACGTTTTAATACGCGTTAGCGTGCTGAATGTTCGCTCTGCGTCGGCGGAAGAAATCGGCGTCGTCAAAATGATGTCCAGAAATTTTGCAGACGCCGCAAAGGTAGTTACTAGAGTGTTATCTATGAGGAACCCATAGAACGCGCAAGTTGATGTGATGTTCAAAAAAGTTTGATTGGTGTATATACATCGCAATTCATTTTCCAATTTACCCACGTTTATCATGGGGTAAAATTTGGAGACAGTAGCCAACAAATGGATGGGAAATTGACGTGCAAATTTTGAAAAATTTTTGGGGTTCATCAAAGAGAACGCGGCAAGGTGTTCAGTGCGGGCAGACGATCGCCTATTTGATTCACCAGAATGTCACAGCATTCCTTTGCAGACAAAATCAAACGCTGCGTTGTTTGCCCGCGGCGTAAAGAAGCACTCCATGTGTCGTCGTATTTTATTGTTTCCCGGATACGGAGATACAGCTTCGCAGAAGTCTGAAATACACGACTGCCACAGACGCTCCATCCATTAGCCTTGACTGCAATGCGCCGTATAATACATTCCACGTGATAGAATATTGTGGAAAAAAAAGCGAGAAAAATGAAAACTCACCATCTTCTAGTAGACGCTTTAGACCTGCCGCCCCCCCTCACAGAGCGTTCGTTCCAACCGGAGAGCTCTGAATGCCATTGAAACACTCAATGAGTTCAGACCTAATTTCGGACACGCCCTGCATCACGCGTGATTGGAAGTCCCAACGTGTTGGTGCACAAGCTGGAGACGGCGGCTACATATCTGGCGAAGGAGGTCAGAGCGCTTCGGCGAAACGGAAAAAAATGAAGAAAACCCCGAAACATTTGCAAAAAATATACGGACGAGAGGGGTATCAAGACACATATTTTCAATAACGAGATTAAATTGGTGTGCATAACAATGTAAAAATGCGCATTAGGAAAATCTTCTTTTATATAAACTTGAACACCATGTTTCGACCCACTCATGACTGCCGCGCCGTCATAAGTTTGAGCTATCAATTTTGACATCGCGTTGTAAGGCTGTAACACTTCTTTCAGTATAGCCGATATCCCGCAAGCCGTGCGATCAACGATTGGTACAAGCTGTGAAATCTCTCGGTAGGTGTACCATCTTTCACAAACTGAAAAATCACGGCCAGTTGGGAAACGCACGTGATGTCAGTTGTCTCGTCAGACTGAATCGAAAGGAACTGGCAATGCTCAATTTCCAGAACCAAATGTTGTAAATAAATTTCATACATTAGGTCGAGCAAATCATTTTGGATATCCTTAGATGTCCCTTTCGAAACAGTTGCGGCATCAAGATGATCTCTCAATACTGTATCTAGGGATGCGTGTATTCCACCATATTCAAAAATCCCCCTCTATCAGAAGAGCCAGCCCAGCCCGTTCATCGTGCCCACGGAGGGACAGCACGTGACAACCAATGAACTTCAAAACATCTATCAATCGACCGAGAACATGGCGGTTTTTCTCGACATTTTGGTTGTGCCGACGAATAGAAACCGCGCGTCCTTCATCCAACTGTGCTGCAACATTAACATTTCCGAATGTTCGGTATTTTACTGCATTGTCCAGATGCTCCATAGAAGATTGATGATCCCTGGCACGCTCGGAAAGATGTTTAAGATCTCTAAAACCAAATTTACACCAACGTGAGTCACGGGCGGTAGCAAAAAGTAGGCAATAAAAACAAAAAATGCATTTTTGTCCTCGCTGTAACACAACTATTCGTGTTTTTTATACCAAGTTTCTGCGCAGAATGTACGCCGACGCTTTCCTCCGTCATGAGATTGTTCCAGTGAACAATTTTTTGGTTGATAAGGCCCAAGACGTTGTACCTCTAATTTTTGTTCCAGCGGCAGCTGCGAAAACGGAGTGCGAAGTAGTGCATCAACCTTATTCATTATGAGGTCTAAGGCTAAGAAATGCGAAGCCGGAAAGAAGTGAGGAGCTCAAAAGGAATGTGAAAAGTCGAAGGCAAATGGACTAAAGGTCTCTAACTGATTCAAATAGCGAAACAAGCGACAAAAACGAAGGCGAGGAAACTATCAACTCTTCAAGCAACCAACGAACGAGAAGGAATGCGTGAATATGTCAACACGTTGTTGTAAGAAACGTCGGCATTGTGTCGTCATAATTTCGGGGCTAGCCCCGATCGGCCCCGATGATTTAGTAAAAAAAACAGAAAACAAACGAGAGAATACGATATACAATAAACAACCGGGGCACAATCAGCGTCGCCCCGTCGACGTTCGGCGAAGGCTTTGCGAGCAAAAAATTCTCACTTCTCTGATCCTATATATTCTCCCGGAATCGTTACATTTATTTTTGCACTGTTTTAATATTTGTATTTCGTAAAAAATTGTAAATAGTACGATAGTATACACTTTGTGTACGGAAATGCAATAAAAACTAGCAATGCAGATTATCTTTACTTAGTCCGGCCCGCCACTGCATTTTAGATTTGCAATGTGGCCCAATAGCAAAATTAATTGCCCAGCCCTGTTCTAAACTGTTGAGATTAAAATCAATTCGGATTCAATGGCGCATTGTATTTCGAGGCCTAGCATAATATTTTTCCGATTTTCAAATTTATTCGTATCGAACCATGAATGAAAACAAAGACTTATATTGTCAGTTATTCTCAGATTGGGAATGTTTGATTTGGAATAAAACTAATCTGTAAGGGACATCTCCAGTGAGTCTGCAAGACCTGGTGCATTTATGTTTGATGATGGGCATTACAAAATCTTTTTTGATGGCGAAGTGGCCACGAGTCAAGTTATATATAGTATTTATTTAGGCGCATGACATTCGTACTAGCGCTCGTTTGGTTGGCATATTCTTCGCAGTGTGGGTTCACATTTTTACAGCTGGTTTTCATACATATTTTTATTTTCTTAGGTTAAGTCACTGCAATCGCTCATGTTATGATCGGTTTTTTATTTGATAAATAGTATTTTTTTACAAATGCTTTAGATCAGAGGTAGGCAAGATTTTTGGTCCACGGGCCTCAAAATGTTGCCCATCTAGACTGGCGGGACATGTAAGTGTGGCGTAAAACTTACACTTTATGAACATAATTTACAGTGTTACAAAAGCAAAGGTGGACCACAATGAGCCTTGTGCCAAAACTGAATTTAATTGCAATTTCAACATATTCCCTGAGTTATTTTTAGCTGCAACATCAAAATTTTAGTTTGGTTGTAGCAATATCAGGCGGGCCAGATTAAAATACTAAGCGGGCCGTAGTTTGCTCATGTCAGCTTCAAATTGTCAAACCGAATAGTTATGGTTTTTATAATAACGTTTTTATTTATCTATTTATTTTAATGTGTAATTTATCTATTTGCATGTCGAGAATATTATAGCCTGGAGCAGTAATAATCATACGCCGAGTAGCGTTGTTCAATACATCTTTGCTCGATTCGCGTACATTTTGCGTTTTTAAGGGAAGACTAAATATTTAAAATAATAGGTCTCGCTTCATTTATAAATTACAGAAAAGTTTGAGTAGTTTTACACGTAAGTTATATTAGCATTTGCAGAGTAATAAACAGATTAAGTAAACATTTTATTACTGTCAAATTCATTGAAATTTTCAATAGCATATGTAAACTTATATTTTAAAATTTATTGCAATTAAATTAAAAATAGAAAATTGCAAAAAACTAAATATAATTCTGCGATGTCATTGTTGTTTATTGTATCATGAACGTCACGCGACATCGCTAATCCGATTGAGATCTGAAACTTCGTCACGACATAACGAGCGTATGCTTCCAAATATATTCGCCTGCGGTGAATTTTTAAGCATAAAAGCAATGCCAAAGAAAGTATATTATCAGTTAGTTTAATATCGACTATATGAGGAAAACTGGCTGATAGAACAGTTCGAGAGATTCTCAGAGTTCTAAAGAAAGAAACCGTTTATGATAGTGGTGATATTTAGAATTATTAATTATGCGCTGAGAAGCCTTGATATCGTTCCGGACTCGTTACAATGAGTTAATCAGTTTTAATAAAACAAGCCGGTAGGCGCCCAGGATCTTTGATGATTGTTGAGGTCAACGCTCAAGCAACCGCTTACCTTCCATAGAAACTCGCGGCACGATCAATAGAGCTGGTTTTCGAAAATGCCAGTTCTTTTCAAACCATATCGTAGACATACTGACTGACATATTGTGGCTAAAAATAAAAAAAAATAGTGTTCACTAAAATCCAAATAGCTTCACCAGTTTGAGGAGTATCGAGACCAAAGGCGACTTGGAAAGAGTATTTTGCTATGCGGAATGTAGCGTTCTTAGAATTTCAATTTTCGACTTGGTTTGCGAGAAAACGGCGAGAATTGTGAAAAAAAAATGAAAGTTTTATAAAATTTCAAGGCGCGTTTTATGCTGTTGCCACGAAAACAAAACCTCTATCCGGGCTTTCTATAAAACACACAATCCTAGGATGACAGGCATGCACAACGATTTAGAAAAGGGTTTTCCAGAGCGGAATTTCAATAGAATTTATATAATGCAACGTGACTTGATGATACCTGGAAACTCAAATGAAGAGTCACTATAGACTTCAATATCAGTGCAACAGCGAGAGCAGCTAATACTTCAGAAAATGATTTTACGCTAAGCTTTATATGTCAGTTATACAAAGAAGCGCATTTTCGAAAGCTTCTATATTCTTATCAATAGTGACATTGTTGTAAATATGTGATGCCAATTCTAAAATACCTATATCGCGTCAGAATCGGCTATGTCCTGTGCAAAAAGCTTAGTCTTTTTTCAAATATGCGAATATATCTTTTTGAAATTCTATGTCACTTTTAAAATACTTCGCATTTAAATCGCTAAACTATTTGTAATTGTTTCTGATCTTTTTATATTAAACGACCTTTAGAAAATAAATTTTCCAAAAACGTATCGTTTTTAAATTCAAGACGCCAATTCTAAATTGTCAATATTGCGGAAAATACCCTAGCACAGGGGTGTACAACATGCGGCCAGCGGGCCACAACCCAGCCCGCCGAGCCATTCAATGTAGCCCTTGTCAGTACTCGGATTTTGCTCCATCAAACATAAAATTCTAATCGACAGTTTTATTTTTGAATAGGAGCTGACAAGGATAAAAACACACGGTTATTTGCTCCTGTCGCAGCGTTAAATCTTACGTTGTTTTGTTACTGCAAGCCTAAGCAATAATAGCGCATTCTCTTGCCTTTACCGCTCAATTTTTTGTGTGGCCTGGTTTTGTCTGAAGTTGGTTATATGGTCCGCCGACAAAAATGTCGTACATCCAACTCTAGCATCTATGATAATAGACCTGCATTAATCTATACAGATTGAATATCAGTCAAATATTAAAAGAACTCTGTAATTCAGTGCACAATACCAAGCGATATCAATGGTAGCGACTCCCGGAAATGGTCTTACCAGCAGCTTTATATGTCATTTATGCGTTATCCTGTAGTATGCAAACCAAGATGGCGGACATTGAAACGTAGTATGTGTACCAGGTTGGGGTTAGGCTATAATTTTATTCCAATATTGCTTATTTTAGTTCTATTGCGGGTTCGGTAACTAGCCAAGTGACTAGCCTAACTATAACCTGCTACACATTCCACGTTCCGGCGCCCGCCATCTTGGTTCGCAAACTACAGGAAAACCCATTTATGAGAGAAATACATTTCCACTGAAACCAGACCAGTAGACCACGAAAAGAAACTATTCTACGGGTCAGGGGTTTGCGCGTAATTTCAAAAAAATCGTTTCGGTCCACAAGATTAGACAATCTATCAGGGCGCTCTGGAATCGCTGGTTTGACTGTGCCATTTCTAAAAAGGCATTCAATTTAAAATAGCCAACAACAACTTCAGAAGTGGCATAAGCGAAGTCGATATGTATATTCAAAGATACATTCGTCTCAGTTTGTGAAACCGCGATTCGTTACAGAACATTTTAAATTCTGATATTCTCTTTCAAAACTCAAATTTGATCTCTTATTCATTTAGTTACTATTTGAATACACTGAAACTTCGAGATGAAAATCTTAGTAGTTTTTATCTTAATATACGTCACCACTTCATCCTGGTGCCAAGATGAGACAGTGTTTCACTGCTCTCCCAAGCCTGGATGTCAGATCGCACAATGTGATCCGGTTGCAGTAGGATGGGACAGACCAGGTTTCAACATTGATGAACATCTACACGACAAAGAGTTTCCGATTACGTGCAAACCTAAGAATGCGAAAAATTTGCAGAATACTGTCAACTTGTTTTCGTTAATGACCAGAAATACTTTGGGTAAGCGTTGATTTATATTGCTCAATATTCCAGCACGGTCTTTCCCAGGAAGCGTGTATCAAGGTCAGCAGCTAAAATTATTCGCTCAGGGAATAAAAACGTAATAAGAAATGAACAAGATGAGTTTAACTCAGTCATACATTGATATATTAGATCATTATTGCAGGAACCGCATTCCATCGTTCTCTGTAACAAATCTATTGAAGTCGCAACATTTACATTAATAAATTAAATTTGCTTTTATATATTCATTCAGACATTGGACATATCAAATCAGATTTAAGAGATCTAGAAGAGAACGTCAATGATAAAATAAAAAACACTGATGTTTCTGAGGGAGAGGGTGAGAATCTGACATTATCTTTATTCATTGCTTGAGTATTAGAAAAAACTATTTGCTCACGAATACTCTATGTGTCTTTGTCTTTATTAATGGATCTTATATTTTTACCAGAAAGTGACATCAAAAACAAAGAACAATCTAAAGAAATTAACAATCTCCGAGAGAAAGATAGACGGCAGTCTGAGGAAATAAAGAAATTGAAGGAAGGTCGCTTATATCATCGTCAAAATATTATAATGAAGATTATTAGCGGAAAAATGATGATGCACTTAGTGATAACTACATTAAAACTACTGCTTCATATTGCTGCGTTAGGAAGCAACATATAAATCTAAATTCAAAATATATTTGTCGGATTTTTGTTAAGAGCGTCGGAATTTTATTTTTCATTAGATTTCGCCAAAGTTGAAGACATGAATAATAATTTAGTTAATAACAACAAAAAGATTATCAAAGATAATATCTTAGTACCCCTTAGTATATGCACCACGTTAGGTTTGAGGCGTAATTTTATTCCTATTTTCTTTATTTTAGTTCTATTACGAAATCAAGACTGTCTGTGTTAGCCTAGTGAATATACCCCCAGCCCATAGGTTCCAGTCCCTTCACACAACTTGTACAGTAGGCAAATAAAATTAGTCATCTCAATATTAGTACACATACTTCTGGAGCGCCGAAAATTGGCCTGAAATATTATAGAAGACTTTGTCTTTATAAATAGATCTCAAATTTTTACCAGAAAGTGACAGCAAATTTAAAGAACAATCTAAAGAAATTAACAATCTCCGAGAGAAAGATAGACGGCAGTCTGAGGCAATAAAGGAATTGAAGGAAGGTTAGTTATATATTCGTCAACATATTACAATGCGGGAAAATGATGATGCACTTTGTGCTAACTATAAGCTGCTGCTTTAGGAAGCAAAATATAAATCTAAATCGAAAATATTATTTCCGTATATTTATTCTAAACATTCAAATTTTATTTTTCATTAGATTTGACCAAAGTTCTAGAAATGAATATTAATGTGGTAGAAAACAACAAAAAGATGAAGAAAGGTAAAACTGTCAAATAATTTTTTGGCATCGTAATTTACCGGAACATATTTTTCTGAGAGTGTTTCCTTTAAATAGGCAAACTTCATTTGAAGTAGTCGCGTTTTCATTGCGACGCAGGCACGCACATATAGACGTTGTCGTTTATGGAATTCAAATAAAATCGTGTGGAATTAAGATAGTAGATTGTGTGCTTCTCGAAGAGCATGCAGTAATTAGATTGCACAAACTTTTTACACAAACAACTGGATTAAAAAATTGGAGCGTGTTGAAAATCGAATTGTGCAGCTAAAGCTTCAGTGTTTTAGGAAAGTGATTGATTGATCAAGATAAGCGTTTATTATATTAACATTCAGCAATATCCCGGATTGAACAAAAACTTTCCGTACCAACAACAAAGAGTCAAACAACAATGAATCAAACAACATTGAAACCAACCCCTCCGCCAGGTGAATAATTCATTAAATCCATTTTGGCTAATAATTTGCATCGGATTTAACAAAAGTCCTAGAACGTCTGACTAGCTTGGTTTATGTTGTAAGATACTTGGTTCTTGCTCGAAGCAACGAATTATCAATATTTATCAATTAATTTGTATTTAAATATACAGTTGTTACATTTCAGAAAACTGCAAATTGAAAATCGGAAATATCTGTTATTTCGCTTTGATACGAGTTGAAGAAGATGTCAACTACGACATAGCAGTTGAATATTGTAAGAAACGTAACGCAGATGTTGGCTTGATCCGAGATGAAAAATCTTACAATGCGATTATGGATTACTTGAGAAGGAATATTCCAAAAGAAGAGAAGTTTATTTATATATTGACAGAAATCCAGTTTAATCCAATCGTTAGTATATTATGTTTATGCTATCTATATATTATATTTATGCTATCGACATATAGGTGGAATGGGATACATATACAGCCAAGGATAGTTCAAGTTTATGTTTGATTAATAGCTATAGCTGTGTAAAAGGTATATTGAAATTATATTCAAGTATCGCCTGTTCTTAAATCCAAGTAAATAGATCGTAAATATTTTAATAACATCTAGTTTTGATTCGTATTTTTGCGATGTTTCGAATTCAACGCATTTGCGCTGTTCGTGCAGCAGTGATTGTTAAATAATACCAAAATTTGCAATGGAATCAAGGATGCAATTTGGTGTAGTACAATAAATATTGATACTAATATGAATATTAGTTTATCTTTTATAAAATCAAAATTCTGGAAAAAGTACGAGTACATCAAACTACATTGCGTATACAAATAATTGTTTTTAAACTTCAGCGAAACTTCTTGTCAGCGATGATCACATAATAACGTGTTTTTCACACTTGTCGCACAGTTTCCCGCGAGAAAGATTAAGATAACATCATACGTTCTCGTGGTACAAGACGTAGAAATATACCAACGCATGTGATATAAATAACCACGTCACACTGGTGGACAATCGTAGGTTTTAAAAATTCAGACATTTTGAAATGCGTTTGTAGCGACTTTTTTGTTTTTCCGAAATTTTTAAAATTGATTTCGGGCCTTATGACCGCATTTGTCTGCGCCACAGGTTTTGACTTCTATATTAAATTGGAATCTGGTACCATTAACGGTAGAATGCACGTCAAATAAAAATATTACAGGTATTGGTCTTGTGTACACTTTAATATGGTAGCATTAATTCGCCACTGAACAGCGCATTGAATCTGGCATGGAAAACCATTCTTTTAGAAGACGTTTGATCACGAATTATGTGACCAAATTAAATTACAATTTCGATATTTGTGTAATGCTTTTATTGTTACTCGCAAATTGGACATTTTCAACTTCATGAAAAGTTATGGGCACATGAAGCACGTCCATGCATCTACACAAGTTACCAAAGCCTATTCGTTTATACACCCATCGTTTTTGGTCAAAAAACATAAATGGATTTTGCATACAAAAATAATTTATCTGCATCCTGTCGCTAGTTATGTCTTGGGTAAGGTTAGTTGCTTTTCCCATGCTGCCTCGGCTTAGCTTAGGTTCGTACTATGGTTAGTTTAATCAGCGTTTAGTAATATATATAGGAAAGGGCATTTTCTAATACCTGAAGATTTCGGAATCGAATCAAATATTTTTTCGAATCTCGAATACTTAAGAGATATATATATATATTATTTTATGCGACTTTTTTACTAGAATTGGCCTGTCAAAAAATGAATTACTGAAAACAGATTGCTGAGAGTTCACACACAATAAGAAACACGTTTAGTCAATAACTCACCATAGGAAATTGTCATATGTCAGGATAGCGTTGAAATAATATCGCTTCGGAAAAAAATGAGGAATTCACCTCGACCATTGCGGGAAAGAAAAACAAACAAGATTCGATGAGAAATTTTGCTCAGAACCGATTCGAATAATTGTCGATTCGATTCGAAATTCCCAGCTCTAGTAATACAGTAATTTCGAAATTTAACAGTTTTGCAAAGATCTTTGCCCTTACTTGTTAACACATGAGAGACTAAAATAACTTGAGTTTACAGTTAACTAGGCATTAATCTTTGATAATAGGGAAAAAATGCATTTATTATTTAAAATCATTTGCGTGTTCAAGTACGATTAGGCGATGACTGACAGCTAATAATTCTGTTCTTCTCAGACACGTGACGTCAAACCTGCAGATTCATTTATTGAATGGAGTCAAAATATATGGACCGCAGAATATCCAATTACGGGAGCCGAGTATAAAGATTACAGAAATATTTTCCTTCTTGTTCTATCCGACCTGAATTCTCGTCATCAAGGGATGGTAAATGCTCCTTCTACCACGAAGGTTCATGGAGTTATTTGTGAGATCCTGATCTAATCAAACGTCAGCCTGGTTGTATTTTGTTCCTCTGGTTCTATCATCAGTAAAATATAAAATATAAATCAATCGTTTCCTAATTGGAATTTGTACAATTTGTACAATAACTTGTAATAATCACAGCATATAACAGTAAATATTATTTAATAATTGCAAAATAGTATGATTAGATTGATGTTTGATTAAAATAAAGATAATTCTTTAACATAAATCTCACATTATTCAAATTAAGAAATGTTCCTCATATTTTATGAATTTGCAAACATTTTCGTTAAAACAAAATTTGATACTCAATTTTAAAATTCGATTATTAACTAGTAATAAATTCATCTTTTGTTCAATATTTGAAAATTCAAACGTGGTTTACTTAATTTTAGAAGTAATATAAATTTACTAGTATTACAAATTATAACTGGTATAAAATTTGGCTTCTGCGTAGAACTTTGTTTCTCTAAGACTGTTTCTCAGAGGGATCACAAAATTAGTTTGTAAAATTGAAACGTTCAAAACAACGATGAATGTAGTTCTAATTCTACCGAATGAAATACGGTTATGATCTGGAGGTAGTATTTTTCAATAAGCTCAAGGGGTTAGTTAGGTGTTTGAGATGAGCTCTAATTAAATTTTTTGACCGTATCGTGTCAATAGAACAGGATGTAGGTATTGAAAAATATAACCTACTTATGAAGTAAAACTCGCAAATTCGACAATAGGAATGCAGAGATCTTGTAAAGAAAAGCCGTTACATATTTTAAAAACGTTTTGTTCAACTAATTGATGTTAGCTGGTCCAATTCATTTGTTGTGCCAAGACAACCATTTGCGTTAAGTTCAATAGATGTTGAGCGATATAATTTAATAGGAAGTCAGTTTGAATTATATTATTTCACATCCCAGAAAACCGAGTCTCAAAAATATCGTGTCTCAATTGCTCCACGTGTCGCAAAGTTGTGAAACTACACCAAGGTGAACCATACCTGATTAAATTACTGTAATTGCTATTGATCCAAAATATTATTTCTTATTTCGAAAATTCTAATGGCGATACATGCATTAGAGATATACAGAACCGCTTTTATTTATCGCTGATACTGGTACCGATCCCATATCGACGCGCCAATATTTTGAAAAATCGGTATTTCGATCAAATTTTGATTACCTTCTGAATTGTAAGGGACTGTTAGAATAAAATAGTTGTCGGCGAACTAAATTTTAAGTTATCACTATTTCAGATTGACGAGCAAATATTCCAGAGCATAAGAAATTGATATTTGTGATTCAAATGCATAAATGACATGTCATTAGAATCAATGATAACAGAAATTGCACCGTAAATTGCTTTGCAACCTAGTCCGTATGCAAAGTTGTTCTTCAACGGTTTGTTGAACAGATTATGGCGGTCTTTGCAGACGTTTTGTTGTGCACAGGTGTGCAAGGAATCTTGGTGTTTGATTTGAATGATCTACAAAATTGTAGGTATATATATATAGTTGAATATATTCGGTAATTTCATCACTTGTTTTACCTAGTGCATTTCATTCCATTCCCTTTTCTACCCATGTCTCATATATAGATTAATTTATTCAAGTTCATCTTATTCATCAGATGATTTGTGTGTCAATTTTTACGATATTTTGCCCATGTCGCACGGATTAAGCCCTTAAGGTCAAAAAATTAAATGGGAGACATAGTGGATGTGGCACAGACGGTACAAATGGGACGCTCACATAAAAAGAATATTGGCATGCAGCACAAATGCAAAGGTATATACAAGTGTACTGTAACTATTATTGTTGCAAGTGGTGCGAGTAATACAATGGGGAAATGAATATATTAGACAAACGAAACAAGTGTGTAGCATGTGAAATAACTTGAGTTAGATACATGTAATCTAAGTTACAAGTGATAAACACTACATTTTATGCTTGCTGATGTAACAATCCAAGTTATGTTATTAAAAAGAATTACCAACAAAGATAGTTTGTATATCATAACTCGAAGTATGGTTACTCACCAAAATATCAAGACAAACATGATAAATCCAATCGTCCGATTCAGTCGTCACTCATATCTATGCAAAGTTGTTGAAATTACATTAGGTATATAATTTACCGAAAGACCTTGTTCATTTCATCACGCACTCCGACACCAACAATCGGATCGGATTTTTTTAGTTCAATAGCCAGGAATGATGACATGAGAGAAAATGATAACATGCAGCACAAATGCAGCGATATAGACTAGTGTAGCCTACTACGAATATCATTAGGGAAATTGATACATGAGACAAGCGATACAAGTGTATAGCACATGGATCAACCCAACTTGCTCCAGGCATATGCAAACTAAAATACAGCTGACACTGACTTTCTCGAAACTCGGAATGCTTGGTGTGATTACGACTACTAAACGCTACAGTTCATACTTGTTGATGTCACAATCCAAGTCATGTTATCAAAAAAGAAGAATTGCCATCAAAGATAGTTCGCATATTTTAACTCGGATACTTTTTTAATTCAATAGCAGGAATAGCTGTAAAATATTTTTATTTCAAAAAATACCTGAAAAACATCTGTCATAAATGGTATTTACAATCTTCAGTTTTATCGGGTATATGTTCACATATACGCCAATTTCTACAGCCTAAAAATGCTCTATCTGATTCATTGTCCAAACATTTTGATTTACAATAAAATTAACTAGCTATGAAGATAATATGTCAAAATGCATCTCATCGGGCTGAATATTTTCCAAATGTTTATTTCAAATATGGAAACGGTGCGCATTCAATCGTCACAAACCATACTTACTTGACGAGGCGGTCAACCGCGATCACGAAGGCGGTTCTACCTAGGCGAGGTTTAGTGATTGCACCCAGACTGAATTGACCCTAGCGAATATCCCAAATAGGATAACTCGGTCGTCTAACTTCTGCATGTAGAGACTGCGTTCGCGCTATCTTTTTTGCATATTTGCTACTAATATTCTGTTGACTTACGAGTTAGGTCAATAAGCGGCCACGCTGCTTTCATTAGTTGTGGCCGTCTTGATTCTTGTTTGGGTATGTTATATTTCTCATGACCAATCTCACAATCCATTTATTGATATTAGTCCATGACATGCCTTGCCCTTATCCAAGTTGTTCCGTTATCCAACCGACTCTAGATTTATTCCGTATTTGCAGTTTCACTGAGCGCCACAATTTGGAAACATCATTGTTCGCTGTTTAAGGTATGTATTGGAGTTATGGCTCTTTGTTTTGAATGTCCTGGACGAGATTTATCGGTTGCATTTGGCCAGTTATCACATCTGTGATCAGACTGGTGATTTTCGCGGCCCTCTGCTGATCTGCTGGAGTCCAAAATCATTTTCTGTGTTGTTTTGGTTTTACCATCGCCCTGAAGAGCTTTGCACATGCACATTGGTGTAATTTATAGTAACTGTGGTCACATTATGCTGCAACAAATGTAGAATCTAGAATAATATATCAGTAATAACAGCATAACTATAGGACTTGATATACCGAGTGTCGTAGGTTAATAATGATTTAATCATCACTGCATTGTTTGGTTCACAATCTCCTACAGTGGGTTTCCAGGATTACCACAAATGTGCTGATATGTGGAAGACATAAACACCCAATGCTATGCTTTTGGTCACACCGAGTTGGAACTAAGCTATCTCATCATATATATCAGAAGTAAAGTAACGTTGTGTTCTGTTAGAACATAAAGGGGTGACCTGATGGGTATGGGTATACAGATCAAAGACGATGTAATCATTTTATCCCTACACCTACTACCGCGGAACATGAACGCAACCAATCTCATCTGAAAATGGGAGTCAAGCAAGCCACCTCGCTTCATTGTCATTTTTTTTTCAAGCCATATTAACCCTGTTTTTTCTTTTAAAATCTCCGAATTTCAAATTTTAAAATCTCCGAATTTCGAATTTTAAAATCTCCGAAAGAGCATTACAAATGATCTGAAATATCTGCAGATATTTTCAAATACAAAAATTGTGGTGCCCATCAATCAACTGTTCCTTTTCGACTTCCAAAAGATATCACAGCTAAATTTATTTCAAGATAATAAGACAAGTTTATAAAATTTATTCTACATTTAAAATCATATATTATACAATAAAAAAATAATTAGATTAGTGAAATAGAACAATTCAAGATATAAATTCCATTAAATCTCAAATAACAATTATTTAATAGACTTGTATTTTGAATAAAATATATAATAACTATTATGTTTTAAATAAAATGATCAAAATATTAGACAATTAAGTGGTTACGCTTAAGAATTATCACTTATTTAATCAAATGGGATATCCATTAGTAGAAATTCTTTTCAGAAAGGGAATGAATGATTTATATTTTATTGATAATAGATACATGGGAACAAAATGCAATCAGACTGATATTTTATAAGATCAGGATCTCACAAATAACTCCATGAATCTTTCTGCTAGGAGCGCCATTCAACATCAATTGATATCTGAGATCCAGTTTGGATTTGACGAAAAGGTGAACATTTGTGGAAGTTTTGTGAGAGATTCCAGTGAATGGATAATGTTGAGACCATTTGATGAAAGAATTTGTAGGTGTGACGTCACGAGTCTGGGAAGAATAAATGATAGACAGAGATTATTTCTGGATCATTCTTTATCACGGGTTTGGATTAATTTCATAAATACCGTTTTTATTCAATGTTCATAATTCAATATCGTTTAATTAAGGATTATCGCAATGATATATTCAATCACGCGTTTCGCATGTTATCAAGTAAAACATCATACTCATGCTCAATGATTTGTTCAAAACTATTACACTGCATATTTACTATACAACTAAACTCTTATCAGGTCAGTGCCAGACGAGTTTTCCAATTAAATTAGATGTTTTTTTATAAAAGAGTAGAAATAGCCTACGATGTAATCTTAGAGCAGAAATTTAAATCTAGCTAACACGATGGCGCACATAAATTATATACTCATACCACAAGAACGTGTAACAATATATTGAAAGTAGATAATGTGTCCACATTGTTTCTTGTGTTAAAAGTACCACATGTAGTTAAACAAACAGAACACTGATTGCACTGTTTTAGCTATTAAACAAATCCAAGTGGTATCAAGTGGCTGAAACATTTGATTCCTAAAAAAATTATGCGAACTGTATATACTTCTCTCTATTTTATTCCCACCTTCAGTATGGAATTGTGACATGGGGCTGTGCTGATAAAAGTAGACTGCATGACCTATCAGTTTTACAAAATCGAGCGCTTCGCAATATGACAAGTACTGCTTTGCGTCATAGTATGAGTCCCGTATACAGGCGTTTGGGTGCTCCAGAAGTATGCGAACCAAGATGGCGACATCGGAACGTGACATGGGTAACAGGTTAGGGTTAGGCGATAATTTTTTTCCAATTTTCCTTATTTTAGTCCTATTATCAGTTCGAAGACTAGCCAAGAGCCTCCCGTAGTATTTATACCTAAAATTATGGCCTAACCCTAACCTAGTACACATATTACATTCCGATGTCCGCCATCTTGGTTCGCATACTTCGGGAGCCCCGGCGTTTGAGTCTTCTTAAATTAAATGATGTTTATATTTATAAAGTTGCAAAGTTGATGTTTCAATTTAGACATGGCATGCTTCCAGAAGCATTCAATTCATATTTTACAGACTGTAGTTATGTGCATTCATATGGCGCTCGCTCTGCAACTCATGGTGCATTCTTTATTTTTCGTACAAGTTCAAAATTTGCTCAAAATTCAATCAAAGTCACTGGACCCAGAATCTGGAATAATATTCCTGATAATTTTAAAACATTTTCGTGTAAAAAATTTAAAATTGAGTACATGAAGCACATCATATCCAAATATTAATTAATGGAGGAGCCAGGTCTATCTTACTGGTTACTGATGACTCCTGTAGATAGGTGTCAGGGAGGTTACCTATATCTGGTTTTCTGCCTATTGTATTGTAATTTACTACTAAAATTAGTAGTGCCTACAAATTTATGTCATTGACCAGTATCAAACTATGCCTATATTTGTGACATGTGCATATCCAATTATAGACTGTCCAACAATTTTTTAATTAATTTGCCTGCTATGCATACCCTATACAGCTGTATATAATTTTTTTTTGTCCCCAAAATCTTGAATCACTACTATAATAGCATATTGTGATACCCTACATTTATTGCCTATATTTATGGATTCTCTTTGTACTTCTACTCAAAAATTAAACTGAGTAATGTATATTTCCATTTGTGTATGTTTGAAATTTTTGTCTTATTAGGCTTTCTATAGTTTGTGTATTGAACTATCCAGAAAGTTAGCCTCATATTGTTTTGTTCATAATCCAGTTTTTCAATAGTCCTAAATGAGAATTATTTCTGAAATAATCGACAACATCAAACTCTGCAATTAAACATTTTGGGTACAATGTTATTTGTACCAAATACTACATGGATTGTATTATGTGGATCAAAATACCATTTCAGTAAAATTAGTATCATAACCTTCCAAAATGTATGGCACTTTTAAATTGGTGGGATTCTTTTAATGAATTTGATAACTCAAATATGATATGACTTCAATATACCTCCTGCCTACATTATATATCATAGCCCACTCTTCTGAATCGTCCATACTGTAATGGGTCGAATCAAGCCCTGTTCATTGCTCTTCTATTTATCATGTTTTGTATTATTGATACTTTGGTTATCCTTGTCTAAATGATGAGCCAATATGTATATTATGTATTACTACTTTTATAATTTGTATGGGGTCATGCCACTCTAGTAAATTACAACTCCGCAACTTGTCGTGATAGGCTACTTGTTCTGAGCACACATGCTGGAACCCTAAATAAATGAATTGCCATCTTCGTACACAGGTGTAAAAGTAAAACTATACCTTGTCTGTATCCTTGAATCCATACACACTTGCAATTCCAATATGCTTGACTTGTGCATTCCAAGTGAATTGTTATTGTTTTCTCATCGTGATATTGGAGATTACTGTTTTTTTTTGTTTTTTTTATGTTTGCAATCCTTCGATAATGTTACATATCGTGGGTTGTACTTTGCTGCTCTACACCTAAATCTCATCTTATATTGCATCCATAATATTTCCTAAGCAACTTTAACTCTCTATTTTTATATTTGATTACTATTATTTAAGGTTTCTATTTAAAGTGTCCCAAAGCGTGTTATAAAAGATTTGGGTTTTCTATGTTTGCAATCCTTCGCTGTATTCACCAATGTTACATATCGTGTGTTGTACTTAGCTGCTCTAAACCAAAATTTCATCTTATATTACATCCATGATATTTCCTAAACATTTTTAACTCTCTATTTTTATATTGGATTACTTATTAAATGTCCATATTTAAAGTGTCCCTAATCATGTTATAAAATGTCACATTATTCATTTTTTAAATTCAATATGCCAAGATTATATCTATGTTTGGTATTTGCTTTTGCAATCTAAAAAGAAACTCGTTTATATAAAAATTGGTTATCTGTTGGTCCAAAATTTCTCTTAGTTTGATTCAAGCGATGACCATCATATAAAACAATTGTTGCTGTATAAATTTATATATTTGGTTTTAGCCTAGTCAGGTGTAAATAAAAATATATAGGCTACTGTGTCTGTATCCTTGAATCCATTTACACTTGCAATTCCAACATGCTTGACTTGTGCATTTCCAGTGAATTGTTATTGTTGTCTCATTATATTTTGGGGATGTTTTTTTTTTACGTTTGCAATCCCTCGCGATATTCACCAATGTCACATATTGTGTGTTGTACCTAGTTGCTCTAAACCAAAATTTCATCTTATATGGCATCCTTGATATTTTCTAAGCAACTTTAATTCTCTATTTTTATATTCGATTACTATTATTGAATGCTCATATTTAAAGTATCCCAAGTCGTGTTATAAAAAGTTACTTTTTATTTTTTTTATTATGTTTGCAATCCTTCGCTATATTCACCAATGTCACATATCGTGTGTTGTACTTAGTTGCTCTAAACCAACATTTCATCTTATATTGCATCCATGATATTTCCTAAGCAACTTTAACTCTCTATTTTTATATTTGATTATTATTATTTAATGTTCATATTTAAAGTGTCCCAAATCGTGTTATAAAAGGTTACTGTTTTCTATGTTTGCAATCCTTCGCTATATTCACCAATGTTACATATCGTGTGTTGTACTTTGCTGCTCTAAAACCAAATTTCATCTTATATTACATCCATGATATCTCCTAAGCAACTTTACCTCTCTATTTTTATATTTGATTACTGTTAATAAATGTTCATATTCAACGTGTGCCAAATCATGTTGTAAAATGTTGCATTCTTCATTTTTTATTCCTAGGGCTAATATGCCAAGCTTATATTGCATTCATGATACTTTCTCTGTAAAATGAGTTCATATATTCTTACAATTCAATTATGACTTAAATGTTCGTCATCAAATTGTCACAAATCGTGTTATAAAATGTTACATTCTTTATTTTATTAAGTGAATATGCCAAGCTAAAAGCTCATTTCAATCATTCCTAAATTTGTTAATCAAATCACAATACTTCTTCATTGAGCTCCCTGTTCAATCTAATTTGCATGAATGGCCTGGACTAATGAATTGTATAAGTTTGGTGTAATCACACTTCTATTTAATGCTTATATTCGAAGTGTCCAAAATCATTTTACATAGGGTCATAAAATATTGCATCCTATAATTATATTCCTATATCAAGTCAACTTTTTTGCCAACTGTGTGTCTTTCATTCACTTGATTTATAGTTGTATTGATATGTATTGATTATGTTGAATTTAATATTACTTTATTTATACTAAGTCAACACTTTACCTAAATATTTGCATGAATGGCCTTGTCCAAATAAATGCATTTTGTATACAACAAAAATCTGTATTGTTTCGATGATCCAACCCGTGCTTCTGATTATATAACACTAGTATGTGTTTGTTATAATGGAACTCCACCCTTGTTCAAATTCCTGCATGTTCTGTATTAACTTATCTTCACCCATAAGTTTACAAATTACCCTAATAAATCGTATCTTATTAGAGTACCTGGGCATGACTAAGCAGTTTATATTTTGGAAATCAAATTCAATATGTGGCGAATTTCGGTCAGTTGAAAGAACCGTATACCATAGTTTTCGCTTCGATAATAAAACATGTAAATATTGTATATAGTAAACAAACATGAGAGGTATTAATAGAATGACACCGAACCTATTATTTATTTTTTATGCTTATTGAATTGGGTGGCAACTGACTCTGATGACCTCCAACGGTCGTATCGTTGCCTCCCAGTCATGTACAGAAAACGTTTTTTTAATTTTGTTATGTATGTATGTATATATTATTTTCTTGGTTTGACAAAATGAAATAAACTCTCTCTCTTTCTCTCTCTCTCAAATCATTATTAGCCATGTCTGATTATATTTCTTCACCGTGTATATATAACCCTAAGATACTAACCATTGGATCAAAGTGGATTCCTGTCCATATTCTAATCCACGTCTCACTCTTGGGCATATTCTTTATCAGGTATTTCATAATCTCATTGTAGGATTCTTCGTCTCGAATCAAACCAACATCTGCGTTACTTTTCTTACAAATCGCATTGGCTTCGGTGTAGTTGACGTAATATTTCCCAAATATGACAGTGAAATAGCAGATATTTCCAATCTTTAATTTGCAATTTTCTAAGAAGAAACGGCTGTTTATTTAAAACAAACACAATAAATTATTAAATTTCAAAAATTCTTTGACATAGATGAGATCCCAAGGGTACCTTCTAGCAATGTTACTCTTCCAATTTTCCGCTTAGCCGTTCGTGTTTTTAGAAAAACACCCCCGCTAGGTTCTAAAATAAAAAAATTAGTGATTATTCAGTACGGGTTAAGAATGATTTTGAATTCTCGTCGCAATCTGCTTTCTTAACAGAAACCCTGACTGGATAATTACTAATTATCTTATTTTGACCGTTGACAGGGACTTTGTGCAAATGATCCCGTGTTATGCCAAGCAGTGAAGCCTAATATATAATGCTTCTGTTCTTTCTGGTGTAAAAAAAAATTCTGAAAGATTCAAATAAGAAATATGACAAGCTAAGTAACATAACACGCTCCATCGAATGCAGAAATATCTCAATTTTTGTCTTCACTCCCATGCAAAATGCTCCTCAAACATTCATAACCCACAGAATTTTGCAATCCATATGATAATTTGGGCAATATTAGTTATTTTAGGTTAGGTAATAATTCGAATAGGAGTTACTACTATATTTATTATTACTCTATCACTTAGTCTATAAAAGTATTTGTTTAATGCTGGATATCGCTAATTTGATAATGATTTGGGCGCCGCGATGATTGATCATTCATTTTTACATATTATCTAAATTCTAAACAATAAAAAATGCCAGAATAGTTTATGTAATACATAAAATGAGCTTAACCAAATAACATGGTATAGAATACTATTAAGCAGATACCTTTCTTCATCCCATCCCTTGTTTCCTTTTGTTCTTCTACCAAATTCTCATCAAGTCCTTGTAATTCTATCAAATTAAAAAAAAAACATTTGATAAGAATTTTGATAAAGTTTTTCACGTAATCTAATATTCTGTTGACTATTTGGTTGATTTTACCTTTCTTTACCGCGTTTGTTTTCTTTTGTTCATTCAATTCTACTGCCAACTTTTTAGTTATTTCTTGAATTTTAATCAAATCTAAGAAAAAACAAAAAAATATATAAAAGGCTATTGGCAGGCTCATAAATTTAAGCCAAAAGCGTTTGGGAAGTTTATTAAAAATACAACCAATACGGAGAAATTCGACTAGAAAATTCAACAAATTAGAAGAATCAAGAATGATATGAAGAAAAATTTAAAACTACCGGTTGTAATATAATGTATTAATTGTTGTTGTAGGCCATGGCAGTAAGCAATTGGTAATTACTGGTAATGTAGATGTTTAGCAGTAAAATGAAAAATGCGATGTGGTTTTCAAACATGTGATGATCTGTTAATCTAAGAGTTAACAAGATGTATGATTTCGCCTTAGATGATAAGAATAAGAACCATTTTTCCTTCATAATATACACCAACCTTTCTTCAGCTCACTGATCTCAGCAGTTTGTTCCACAATTTTCTTCTGCTCATCCAACTCTTTCGTACGGAGTTTGGCAAAATCTGATAAAAGAAATCGCATGCAAAAGGTAGCACACTACGATCTTTCAGCCACCGTTAAAGTTGAACAATTGCGAACGTAAAGTTACTCAATGTTACATGAAAGCAATCTCTTTTACTAACGTTATCTTTACAGTGTAGACTGTACAGTGTACAACAAGGCAAACTCGCTATTTTCTGCACAGTGAAGACTTGAAAATGATCATTTTTCAATTATTTACATATTGATCTGCTTTTAAATAGTTATTAAAATATATTTATATACTTCGATAGTAATTTTAGACCAACCTTCTTTCAACTTCTTTAATTCATCAGACTGTTGCATAACTTTCTCTTGGAGCTTATTAATTCCCATCGATTGTTCTTCAATTTTATTGAAAATTTCTGATAAAAAATAAAAGATAATTCTAATTCAGTATAATGACACAAAATTTTCTGAAAGACTCATCTTTTGTTCGGAATTTATTCAAAATCTACACATAAAATATTTGTAAGCAAATACTCATATATTATTCAATGTCAAAGTATTATATAAAAAATTTCGTATTTTTACCCTCTTTTCCAAAACCCTGGACGTTTTTCAATTTGTCATCGAGGTTCTTTTCCAGTTGTCTAAAATCTGATCTGATAATTCCGATATCTGATCGAACAAATAAATCAAATTTAATTATTAACTTATTAATTTCAATTCTATATACTACAAATGGTATCGTTGTTTGATAGGTGTTCGTCAAAGAATCAAAATACGGTTGATAGAAGTAACTAACTATTCAATTCTCATGTCTCCCAATGTGATAAGGATTTCAACGGAAGTATCAAAACATTTACGGTTAGGCATTGTCAACCCAATTTAATACACTCTGGGAGACACGGGATTTCTAATCTGCAAAGTCAACACTGTTTAGTCAAACTCGTTGACCGCTCCGCCATCGCGTCGCACTAAATGATTATGATTACGTCCGTTAGAATTCGTAACAATCATGGTTGCGTTTAATAAAAGCTGAATAAGGATGTTTTGATTTAAAATACTCAGAATTATTGAATAAAGCAGATACTTGCCTAAAGTATTCCTTGATACTAAAAAAAACAGATTTATAGAATTCTGAAATTGTGATGCATTATTCGATTTGCATGTAATCGGAAATTCTTTGTCATGCAGATGTTAATCAATGTTGAAACCTGGTCTGCCCCATCCAACAGCAACCGGATTACATTGTGCAATCTGGCAACCCGGCTTTGGAGAGCAGTGAAACACTGTTTCATCTTGACACCAGGATGAAGCGATGCCGTAGATTATAATAGAAGCAATTGAGATTTTCATTTCTAGATTTTGATGTATTTGCGTGAACTGAAAAAAAGTTCACATCCGTATCTGGAACTTGAACTGTTACGGGTTTCATAAATAAGTCATGGCAAAAACTTTTTTAAAACTCCATGAATATGACTTGATTATTAGTAGGAATTTAGTAGAATTAGTAGTTTCTTCGTTAGTGTAGAGCCGAGGCCCAACTAATATTTTCGAATTTTTTGGACCTGAAATCGACAGTTTAATATGAAAGGATTGTGAGAAAGTAATTTGAAAGGATTTACAAGCTGTAAGTAATTTCTAACAACAAAAATTTGACGTTTACTCGTCATTTTAGTACCAGTTGAAAAATTCTATCCTTAAATTGTTTAATATCTCATACTTTGCTTTAAAATTACTCTGAAACTTTAGTTTTCAGGAAAAAAGAACTATTTACCACTCTAATTCCAAGTAGGCTCTTTCAAACTATGAAAAACATTGAAAAACCACCAAACACCTTGCAAAAACAGTAAAAATCCATCAAAACCGCAAAAAAATACCAAAAACCTTGCTTGTAGATCGAATCATATTCATTCACAAATTTACCATTCATTACACTCACGTCAGGTTTTCGTGTTCGCCTTCGAGCACAAATGACATTTGCTATAGAAATGCAATCAATTATGTACTATCAAAAGTGACAGTAAAGTTATCTAAACTTTTTGTAGGTTAACGAGGTAAAGATCAAATTTGATAGTTTGTTTTTTATTCTTCTCAAGGTTCGATAAACATGCGGTGTTTTTATACTGAACCAAAAGCAAGTATAGAACACAAAAAACGCCGATGTTTGAAACAAAACATCTGAAACTTACGATGTACACATTTAAAATCAGTCCCGATTGCATGTACGTTATTTTACATCGTGACTAGACAAATTTAAAAATACAGGCTAGACGCTCAATCAAGTCTGAGTAGTAGATGCTGAAGGATATATTGCATGTGCCGCGAAAATCATTAGCAATATGCACGTTTTGAAGATATTGATTGATTCGTCGTTTCAAAAATAGAGCAATATGCATAACTTGAATTTCAGAGTAATCAATGGCTTGATACAGTGATTAAATACGGTCCTCATAAATTTTTATTTATTTTTCAAAGCTTTTATACAAAATATCTATGGAGTAATCTAATGAGGTTCACGATGAATTAGTCAAGTTTTGAGAAACATTTAATCACGAGTGACGCTGATCGAAAAGCAGTATTGGTTTTTCGCGCCTCCCTTTAACCTGAATGTAATTTTTACGTTCCTCCATTATATTGTTCGTACAAAGTGTATCGCCAGTATGGTGAAAAATAAAATACTGATATCCCCCCGGGGAAATATGAAAATCTCGATCTACTTCCATAACTTTATGTCGAATGTAAGATTAATTGCATTTCAGAAAACTGCAAACCCAAAGTCGGCAAATTATGTTTTTCTGCTGTTGTATGTGATGTACGAGATATCAGTTACGAAGATGCGGTTGGAATTTGTACAAAACGCAAAGCGAATACTGGTTTGATTCGAGATGGGAAGCCTATCATGTAGTTATGAAATTCGTGAGACAGAAGCTGGCGGATACGCAGAAATCTGTTTCTATATGGACAAGGATTCAGTTTGATCCAATGGTGGGTACAGTGAGACTTAGTTGTGCTAAATATGGGACCTTTTCAAGTTATCACTCTTGTAGCTACATTATGAACTAATATTAAATATGGATAATCTAAAATACCTTTTGAATTCTTACAATAGTTGTTGATCAGACCGAAGTCCAGTCTTTTACTGAATAATAACCTATTTTATGCGTCGAGAATACAACGCTAATCGTGCTACTAAGCTGCTTTTCTACGTTAATTCTTCTGTGATACGCTGTGGAGAACTCGGGCTTGAGCTCGTCACATTAATGAAAGCCTTGTTCTATTAACCAAAATTGTCCTTGGAACTCAGCTTTTATCACCAGCATTATTTCACCAGCACTAAGTCATTTATCCAATAATTCATTTCGTTTAGAAATATTTCCTTCGTCTTTAAAGATAGCTAGAGTTTTACCAATATTTAAAAATGGCAACAAAAATAATCCCTCAAACTATAGACCAACTTCTGTCTTATCTTCCACTGGCATTACTTTGGAAAAATTATCACATACAAGAATGATCAGTTTTTGTACAAAATTTAACCTAATCAACAAATGTCAATTTGGATTTCAGACTAGCCACTAAACTAGTCATGCTATACTTGACGTGACTTCATACATTTATGAAATAATAGACAAAGGCGAGTTTGTCTGCTGCCCTTTTTTTGATCTTAAAAAGCTAGTGGATCACAGTATCCTTACTCACAAGTTAGCACATTACGGTTTTAGAGGTACCGTGGGCATATTACTATGTGATTACCTGGCCAATAGATTCCAATACGTTGAATTAGATTCCCATAGATCTCCGATGTTGCCCATTCATTGTGGAATTGTGCAAGGATCTGTACTTGAACCTCTTGCGTTTCTGAATTTCATAAACGACTTATCTAACAGCTCAAGTCTTTTGAGTAAATTATTTGTTGATGACGCTTGTCTGCTTGCCAGTGCGACAGATTTGACCACATTACAAGACAAGGTGAACACTGAAATAAATAAAATACATGACTGGATGACATGCAATAAACTTACAGTGAATATAGACAAATCTGAAGTCATGTTATTCAGTCCAAACTCTCGCATTAGACATATGAATTTTTCAATAAAAATTAAAGGCTTCAAATTGGAAATTGTCCCGTCTTATAAATATCTTGGGCTCCACATTGATAGTCAGTTAAAATGGAATACACACACCCCAGAAATCCATAGGAAACTGTCAAGATCCGTAGGGATTTTAGGAAAGCTAAAAAACTATTTACAAAATTCCACCTTGAGAATTATTTACTTTGCACTTTTTCAATCTCATATACAATACGCCATAGATGCTTGGGGTTCTACAACTCAATCCAACATGCATAGATTAAAGGTTTTACAGAATAGAGCCATTAGAATCCTCGCTAGAGCACCATATCGTTCGAATTTAAATTCCTCATACCATAAAACTAGAGTGCTTAAATTGACTGACATCTATAAGCTAGAAATCTCAAAAATTATGCATCAATTTCAAAACAATCAATTACCAGCAGCGACAACTATTTTGTCTCGCTAAGTTCAGTGCATGAACATAACACTCGTTCTTCAACAAGGCGTAACTACTTTGTTCCTTGCTTCTCACTTGCCAAATCCCAAAGGTCCCTTGGATTCATAGGTGTACAAATTTGGAATAACCTACCCCAAATTCTACGTGATTCGTCTTATGCCACATTCATAATAGAGTATAAAAAACTCGTGATTTCCACCTACCAGTCCAGTTGCAAAGTGACTCCTCCAGGATTACTTGCTCATACAATGAGTTTACTCGACATGATCCACAGCCCTCAGGTCCAAGTCACCTGTAATAAACATTTTACTATTCTTAATAAATAGAATGAATTATCGATGTTTATTTGGCAAATGTTTCCGATATCTACTTAAAATACTTTTATTGATATATATTGTTAATATACTGACTCACTTATGCCCTCACAGATATATGTGGAGGTACATTTACGCTTTTTCAAAAAACAAAATGTCTCAAAAATTAAGGGCAGAATATGCCAATGTTCTGATTCCAGTAGATTTGACGGCATAGTCTAGTCTAGACCAGTGGTTCTCAAACTTTTTAAAAA